TAAAAATATGACAACACCTGTGTTCCCACATGGAAAAATAGGGAAACAACTCCGCCTCCGAGGGCGGGGAGGAGGAACAGAAGGAAAAGGCACATTCCTCCGTCTCCTCCGCCTGGCCGACGCCGGGACGCTTCGGTAACGCCCGGGGCGGGGGAGGCCAGATGTCCGGCGGGGCCGGCGGGTGGCGGGCAGGGGGGGGGGGGGGAGGCGGAATAGGCAGGGGGGGGGGGGCGCGAGAAGAGAAGAACAATGGTGGAGGCGGCGAAGGTGAGAAGGGAGGGGCGTCGTGTGGGAGTGGGTGTGGGTGCGGAGGAGGGTTGGAGTGGATGGGAGTGGGGGGGGGGGCAGGGGAGGGATGGGAGGAGTGGGGGGGCGGGTAGGTAGGAGCGGTGTGGGGGATGTTTGTGGGGGGGGGGGGACGGCGGAAGTGCTGAGCGGGGGAGGGCGGGGTGAAAGGCCAGAGGGGCCTGGGAGGGTTGGACACGGGGCGGGGTGAGCGGGTGGGGGGGGGGGGTGTGGGTGGTGGGGGTGGTCGCCCGGGGGCGGGGGGGGGGACAGGGGTGGGGAGGTAGGGTGGGCTGGTGGAAGGCCGCGAGGGGGGAGGGAGGTTGGGGGCCTTCCCGGCGGTGGGGTCACAGTGGGCGGAGGTGGTCATGCGGAGGATGTGGTGTAGGGCGAGGACTGGCGGGTTGGTTTGTTATTTTTTCTTCTTTTTTTTTTTTCTTTTTACTTCGTTTATTATTATCCCCCCCCTTTCTCTTTTCCACCTTCCCTTCCTTTTTTTTGTTTCTTCTTCTTTTATTCTTTTTTATTAATTTATTTGTTATTTTTTTTTCTTGTTCTTAATTTTTCATTTTTATTTTAGTTTTTTTTCTTTTTTTTTTTTTTCCCTTTTTTTTTTTTTGTTTTCCTTATTTTTTCTTTTTTTTTTCTTTTTATTTTGTTCTTCTTGACTCTCTCTCTCTCTCTATATATATATCCTCCCTCTCTTGACTCTCTCTCTCTCTCTCTCTCCTCCTCTCCGCTCCCTTTCTCACTCTCTCTCCTCCTCCCTCTCCTCCACCCTCTGTCTCTCTCCTCTCTCTCTTAACACTCTCTCTCTCTCTCTCCCCTCCTCCTCCTCTCCTCTCCTCCCATTCTATGTACCCCGCCCCGCCTCAAAAGGAATCGATATGTAAATCCGCTTCCCCCGTGTCCACCTCCGCCTCCTTCTCTTCCTCCTCCTCATCATCTTTCTCCTCCTACTCCACACAAGGAATACATGTGGAGGCCCCTCCACATAAGGGGTCGAAATGTGAAGGGCCTCCAACAGAAGGAATCAAATTGTACAGGCCCCTTCACATACGGAGCTCATCTATGAAGGGCCCTCCCACATAAGGATTCAACGTGTTGGAGGCCACTCCACACAATATATCAAGATGGAGACCCCTTGCACATAAGGAATCAGTATGCGGCGGTCCCTCCACAGACAAACTAAATATGTGGAGGCCCCTCCACATAATGAGTCTATATTCGAAGGCCCATCCACATAAGAAATCCATGGGGAGACCCCTTTGACCTAAGAAATGAATATGTGGAAGTCCTTCCACAGACGAAATCAACATGTGGAGGTCCCTTCCACAAGAGGAATCAATATGCGCGAGGCCCCTTGCACATGGGGAAAAATATCGGGGAGGCCCCTTCCACAAAAGGAAACAAACTCATCTTTCTCCTCCTCATCTTTCTCCTCCTACTCCTTCTGCTCCTCCTTATCCTCAACCCCTGCGCCAGAGCGGGAGGAGGAGGAGGGGGAGGAGCAGGAGGAGGAGGAGGAGGAGGAGGAGGAAAGGGAAATCACCCGCCGCAAAAGAACTCAATTGGTGGAGGTCCCTCCACAGACGGAATCAACATGTGGAGGCCCCTCAACTTAAGGAATCGATACTTTGAAGGCCCATCCACATAAGGAATCAATATGTGCAGACCCCTTCCAACATAAGGAATCAACAAGTGGGAGGACCCTCCACAAAAAGAAATCAATATGGAGACCCCTTGCACATAGGGAATCAATATGTGGAGGTCCCTCCACAGACGGAATCAACATGTGGAGGTCCCTTCCACATAAGGAATCAATATGTGGAGGATCCCCCACAAAAGGAATCAATCCAATCTTTCTCCTCCTCATCTTTCTCCTCCTACTTCTGATCCTTCTTCTCCTCAACCCCTGCGCCGGAGTGAGAGAAGGAGGGGGAGGAGGAGCAGAAGGAGGAGGAGGAAAAGGAGATCGCCCGCCACAGAACGAATCAATATGTGGAGTTCCCTCCACAGACGGACTCAATATGTGGAGGCCCCTCCACATAAGGAGTCGATATTAAAAGGCCCATCCACATAAGAAATCCATATGTGCAGGCCCTTTCACATAAGGAATCATTATGTGAAGGCCCCTTCCACATAAGGAATGAACAAGTGGGAGGCCCCTCCACATAAGAAATCAATATGGAGATCCTTGCTCATAAGGAATCAACATGTGGAGGTCCCTCCACAGACGGAATCAACATGTGGAGATCCCTTCCACATAAGAAAACACTATGTGGAGGATCCCCCACAAGAGGAATCAGGCCCTTTCCACATAAGGATTCAACGAGTGGGAGGCCCCTCCACACAAGATATCATTATGGAGGCCCCTTGCACATATGGAATCATTATGTGGAGGTCCCTCCACAAATGGAATCAATCTGTGGAGGCCCCTACACATAAGGAGTCGATGTTTGAAGGCCCTTGGAACGACGAGCATATGCAGGGAAGTCGGATCAGCGATAAACGAGTAGAGGGAACGACAATGATAATGAAGAGTAGGAGGGGCAATAAAGAGTAGAAGGAACGAGGGCGGTAAGGAAGCTTGCGAAGGGGAAGACGATGACGAGGCCCTGCAACGGAGAAGGGTGGGAGGAAGGAGGAGGTTCGAGGGGTGAGGGAGGAGGGAGGATCGGGAGGATAACGAACATAATCAAAAGGAGAAGGAACGAATCATAGAAAGAAATGCAGCGGGAAGGGACGACACCGATGCGGACGGAGAGTGGGCAGCATACGAGGGGGAGGGCTGACAAAGAAAGAAATGGGAAGTATCGAAGACAAGGCGAATGGAGAAGATGGGAAAGGAGAGGAGGAGGAGGAGGAGGAGGAAGAGGAGGAAAGGGAGGACCACAGGGGGGAGGAGGATGGGGAGGAGGAGGGAGAGGGGCAGGAGGAGAGGGAGGGGAAGGAGGAGGAGCAGGAGGAGGAGGAGGAGTAGAAGGAAGACAATAAAGAGAAGAATGGAGGAAGAAGGAGGAGAAAGGATGAGGGGGGATGATGGGGAGGGAGATGAGGAGAAGGAGGAGGAGGAGGAGGACGACGACGACGACGCGGACGACGACGAGGACGACGAAGCCGACGAGAAAAAAAACGAAATGTATGATCACAGGGGGGGGGGGCGAGCACATATTTATAGTTATATAGGGAAATGTGTTCGCGTAGCGGTTTTCGGCGCCCCGTGCGTTTCCTGACAATTCGGCGTTTGTCTCGGCGCCATGTTACATACCCCTCTGGGCGGCCAAGACACGTAAAAACACATGGTGCCAGATCAGGACAATCGTGTTAGATACCCCCCTGGATGGCCTGGACACGTAAAACCACGTGGATCCAGCTGTGGGCGACCATGTTCGATACACCCCTGGGTGGCCTGGACACGTTAAACCACGTGGTCCTTTTCTCGGGACAGCCGCGTTCGATACCCTCATGGGTGGCCCGGACATGTAGAAATACTTAGTGCCAGCTCGGAACAACCATGCTAGATACACCCTTGAGTGGACTGGACATGTTGAAACACGTGGTCCTTGCTCGGGACAATCATGTCAGATACCCCGTTGGGGGGCCTGGACACGCAGAAGCACGTGGTTCCAGCTTGGGACAACCATGTTAGATACCCCCCTGCGTGGCCTGGATACGCTGAATTCGCGCTCCCGCTCGAGACATCCTCGCAATGGCTTCCCTGGACAGGCCCCCGAAACGCCCCCCCTGCCCAGAGCAATAGCACTTGTTTTTGTTTTTTGTTTTTCTGTATTGGGATCTACGTTCGGGTAGCGCTTTTCGGCCCCACGTGCGTTTCCTGATAATTCGGCGTTGGACCTGACGCAATGTTACATACCCCGTTGGGCGGCCTGGACACGTAAAAGCACGTGGTTCCAGTTCGGGGCAATCATGTTAGATACCCCCTTGGGTGGCATGGACACGTAAAACCACGTGGATCCAGCTCGGGACAACCATGTTACTAGATACCCTCCTGGTTGATCTGGGCCCTTGTGGGGCCTCCTGGAGAGAGCCAATGTATAAGAACATGCGTTGCAACAGACGGATTCGTGCCCCTGGAGAAGGTCAATCTATGGGAGCACATGTAAAAACACACGGATTCGTGCCCCTGGCCCAAATGTTTCCGGCACTCTTTTATGTTTTATCGATAAGAAATTTCAGAAAAAACAGCGTTTCACTCGGGACATGCTCAAAGTTTAATTTGTTGGCCCTACGCGACCTTGTTATTTTTAGCAAGTAAGTTCGCCAGCCCGTCGCAAGTAAAGACCCGGTCTTTGATAACAGAACTAAAGAGAACCCTGGGCCGACTCCCTTTCCGGGAAAACCGATCATGCGAAAATCGCACAATAATATTGAAGACAAAAGTCTATTACCTCTTGAGACCTTCTTGGGGATCCTCTTGAAGCCCTCTTGGGAACCTCTTGGGCCGTCTTGAGGCAATGGGGGTGTCCTTGAAGCTTCTCCTGCGTGTTCGAGCCCTTCCTGGGTCGTCTTTGAAGGCAACCTTGGGCGTCTTGGAGGCCATGGAGGGTGGATTTGGATGCTCTGAGGGCCCGGAAGGTGCGTTGAAGGGCTCTGGCCCATCCTCCAGGGTCCCCCACTCCAACGCGATTTTGGACCCCAATTGTTTCACACGCCTTTTCACCCCCAGCAAGTGGGGGTTGGCGGATTGAAACGCTCGTGCGGTTTATATACGCACGTAGGGCTGCCTACCAGTGGGCGCAAGCCATCCATTCGTAGGCAGTTCCTGTTTTGAGGTGCGAAAAAGACAGCACTCAGGCGGGCGACCCCCGCATCTCTGCATCGCTGCCTCCACATTCCATCGCGGAGGAAAGCTCCGCATCCTGATGCTGCGCTCCTCCTCAGACTTCTCCACCCCCACCCGCCCCTTCCTCCGCCTCCGCTCCTCCTCTCCTCGCTCGCCCTCCGGTTCTCCTGAGTCCTCGCCTCGGCACCTGGATGTACATCGGGGGCTGCGCGACTTTCCAGCGCTCGGCCCTCGCGTTACCGGGTACCGCGCGCCGACAACATGTCGCACCGCTTCACGCGCCAGCCCGAAGGTGGTCGAGGAGGGGGGAAGGGCGTGGAGGAGGTGCGAAGGAGGAGGGCCCTTGGTTCCATCACCCCATCCTCGTCCTTCCTCCCTCCCACCTCTGGAGGCGTCGGAGTCCTCTGGGCGAAGCCGCGTGTCAGCGACAGACAGCGCCAAGCTCGATTTCCGATGACCATAGCAACAACGCGCCATTCGTACACATTCCCGCAGGCCTTTTGGTGGTTCGTTGTCCCGCTAAGGTTCTCGGCCCCCCCACTTGGAGATCAAAGTTTTCTGTTGTCTACTGGGTGCCAAACTAAGACGGCGACGGCCGGCCCGAAACGATTCGAATTCTCGCTTGCAAAATGTTAGCGAGAGTGGGCCCCAATCGGTGTGTTTCGAGCAATATTTTCGGTCCACTCTATCCCAGTTTGGGGCCTTTAGAGCAGCTCCTGAAGCTCCATTATAACTGGGCCGTCGGGGGCCTGTCTTGGCTGCCTTGTGGCCCTCTTGGGCCGTCTTCGTGCGCTCATCGGGGTTTCTTGGGCCATCCTTGGGCGATTGTCAAAGTGTCTGAGGCCGCGTGGGGCCGTTGTGGGACCATCATGGAGAGGAGGAGAAAGAGAGAGAGAGAGAGAGAACAAACAAAAGAGAGACAGAGAGAGAGAGAGAACGACAGAGAGAGAGAGAGAGACAGAGAGTGTGATTGTGTGCGTGGACAACAAAATGTGCATATATTGGTACATCAACATTCATATATGCATATATGCACAACATCTATATCAGAGTGAGGGGGCCGAACGGTCATTCATTGTCCCTGGGTGCGTGGCTAAAGTTGGGATCCGTGGTGACGATTCTGCTTGTTGCGTTGTTGTTGTCGTTGTTGCTGTTGTTGTTTGCTGTCGTTGTCCTCCCAGCGACCCGGCCCGCGACCCGCCCGCGACCCACCCCGCGACCCACCCCGCGACCCAGCCGCCACCCACCCCGCGACCCAGCCGCGGCCCACCCGCGACCCGCCCCGCGACCCAGCCGCGACCCACCTCGCGACCCAGCTGCGACCCGGCCGCGACCCGCCCCGCGACCCAGCCGCGACCCACCCCGCGACCCAGCCGCGACCCACCCGCGGCCCACCCACGACCCACCCGCGACCTGGCACGCGACCCATCCACGACCCACCGTCGACCCACCCGCGAGCTACCTGCGACCCAACCACGACCCACCTACATTGTTTTAACAGAACATTGGCGCCTGCGGCGGGCTCCTTGTATGGCTTGACAAATGTTGCGCCTGCGGGTGGCTTTTTCAGAGCCTCGCAGACTGCCGACGTCCCCACCGCCCCCTCACTCCTACCCGCAACTGCGGGGGGCTATATGTATGTGTGTATGTATGTATGTATGTATGTATGTATGTATGTATGTATGTATGTATGTATGTATGTATGTATGTATGTATGTATGTATGTATGTATGTATGTATGTGTATATATTTATTTATATATATCTATATATATATATACATTATGACTATAACCTATCTGTATTAGTGTTTGCTTGAATTCATCCCTCGAGGGGCCGCCTGCAGAGTCTTCGCGGGTCCTCTTGGGCCGTCTTGGGGGCCAGTTGGGCCACCTGGGGGCCATGGTGGACGTCTGGGGCCGTCTGGGAACCTTGTTTAGGCCCTCTTGGCCAGCTCTTTGGAAGCTCCGTCAGGCTCTCCAGGGCCAAGTCTGGGCTGCCTGGGGGCCCTCGCTGGCCGTCTTGGTGGGCTCGCGGGGGCCTCTTGGGCCATCTCGGTGCGATCTTGCAAGTGCCTGGAGCCGCGTGGGGCCGGTCTGGGCCCGTCATGGCGATTTCAGATATACATGAATATATATATATATATATATATATATATATATATATATGTATATATCTATATGTATATACATATATATATATATGTATGTATGTATGTATGTATGTATGTATGTATGTATATATATGTGTGTGTGTGTGTGTGTGTGGTCGCCCCCTGTCGTCATACCTTTCCCCCTCCTCATCCTCGACTGCTTATTTTCCGTTCTCTCTCTCTCTCTTTCTCTCTTCCTCCCTCTCCTCTATCTCTTTCCCAAACCATGTGTTTTCTAGCTGTTCCAGGTATTCCCAGATACTACCCAAGTGAAACACCTTATGTTTCCAGAGATTCCAGATATTCCAGAGATTCCCAGAGATCACCCAGGTGAAAATCCTTGTGTTTTCCAGAGATTCCAGAGATTCCCAGAGACTACCAAGGTGAAGAACCTCGTGCTTTCCAGAGATTCCAGAGATTCCAAAGATTCCCAGATACTATCCAGGTGAAGAACTTGGTGTTTCCGAAAGATTCCAGAGATTTCCAGAGATTGCCCATGTGAAGAACCTTGTGTTTTCCAGAGATTCCAGGGATTCCAGAGATTCCCAGAGACTACCCATGTGAAAAACCTTGTGTTTCCCAGAAATTCCAGAGATTCCAACGATTCCCAGAGACTACTCTGAGCTTGCGGCGCAGTCTCTGGGAATCTTTGGAATCTTTGGAATCTCTGGAAACACCAGGTTTCTCACCTGGGTAGTCTCTGGGAGTCTCTGGAATCTTTGGAACCTTTGGAAAACGCAAGGTTCTTCACCTGGGTAGTCTCTGGGAATCTCCGGAACCTTCTGGAAAACGCAGGAAACACACGGTTTTTCACCGGGGTAGTATCTGGGAATCTTTGGAATCTTTGGAATCTTTGGGAAACACAAGGTATTCCACCTGGGTAGTATCTGGGAATATTTGGAACACATGGAACACGCACGGTTTTGAACCTGGGTAGTCTTTGGGAAGGTCTGGAATACTTGAATATCTGGAAAATACAACGTTTGTTCAATGCCACACTCCCCGCCGATTCCTTTCTCCCTCTCTCTCTCTCTTTCTCTCTCTTCTGCGGCCGCAGCCGCGACTGCCGCGTGCCCCTATCTGCGCTCGTCGGAAGACGTCGTGCGCGCGCGCGGGGCAGGTGGCCCCAACGGGACAGCATTGGCCGCTTGCTGCCCCCCCCCCCCTCAGAGCGCCACCCGTCACGGGCGCTCTCACGCTGGCGCGCCAGCGCCCGAACTCGCAGCCGCGGCGCCTGTCGTCCCGTCGTCATCTAGCATCTGCGAGAGCTCCTCCTCGAGGTCCATGCGCTTCTTCTTCGGCGTCGGCGTGCTCAAGTCAATGACGCCGCAATCCTTGGACTTCTTGAGGCGCTGGAGGAACGCCCCTGGCTCACTCTTGATCGCCGCCGCAGGCGAGGGGATCGCGGCCGCGACGGCCGCGGGGGGGGGGTCGTCGTCGCCATCCGTCCCGCCGCCGACGCCAAAGACGTCGTGCTCGTCATCTGCTGCGGCGGCGCTTCCCATCTCGCTGCCGGGACCAAAGTCGTCGTCGTCGTCATCTGGGTTGCCTGGGATGGCGGGCGCAGGGGGCGCGGCCGCGCTGGCGGCGGCGGAGGCGTTGGCGCCGACGCCCATTTCACCGCCCATTGCAGCGAAGTCATATCTCGGGTGCGCGTCCTGGTCGAAGAGCGTGGGGCCGCGAATTGTGAATTGTCTTCGAACGCCCGGCGTCTTTGCCGCCGGCAAGCTTCTTCGTGGCGGCCGCGGCCCGCTTCGTGTGCGCGTCGTAGTCGGGCGGCGTGAAGGCCTGGCCCTTCTTGAACCGCTTCAGGATAGGGGTGGTCCAGGGCGCGAAGAGGTCTGGCTTCTCGGGCACTGGCCGCGGGAAGCGGGGGGCTGGATCCTTAGTCGTAGACGCCAGCCATAGGTACATCCAGTCGTCAGTGAGGAGCACGATGTTGGACCTCGCCAGGTACGCCTCCACGTCCGCCATCTGGTAGCCGCTCTGCTTCTCGCCCATGAAGTTACGATCGATGATTTTGAGGAAGTCGTCGAACTTGATCACTTGCTGGCCTCTGCGGATGGAACGCGCCTTCTTCTCGAACTCTTGATCGTACGGGTTTACGCAGATCTGGCGGGGCTGGTTCTGCTCGAAGGAGGTGCCGCCCCACCTATGCAGCGCGCGGAAAACGACGCACATCAAAACCGACATGTAATCCATGGCTTGTCGCCGTTGGGTGTTTGATGGTTAGTTTCGACGGCGTGCGTTATCCGCGCCCTGCGGTCTCGCCCGCAACAGCGCGTCTTCCTCGGCGGGGTCGAGGAAGGCCTTGATCTCATCGGGGGCCCACTTCGTGTGGGCGGTGTCGTCCGCGATATCGGGCTTGAACGCAGTTCCAGGCTCGAGCCGCAAGAAGTCGATTTTCTTCGTCGTGACAACGCTCGGACGGAGGTCGGCGCGGCTATTCTCATCAATCCGGTAGGCGGAGATTGCGAAGCCGATGGTTTTCGACGCCGTGGATTCGCCGACCATGGTCTTGCCGATCCACATGGTCCCGTGCACGTCGTGGCTCTTGAGAATGGGGGCGACGATGTTGTCGAACGCGAACGGGTGGGGGCGCTCGAGTGTGACCGCCCAGCGCTCGAGTGTCCTCGCGCCGACAGAGCCCGACGCGTAGTTGCGGAGCGACTCTTTGACTTCCGCTGCCTGCCGTCCGAAGATCGGCGACTGCTCGTCGTTAACCTGTTCGTCGGTCCACCCCGCGAACAGGTTCCGGTTGTTTGCCCTCGGGCCGAACTCTTCTATGAAACGGTAGCCCGCCCTTCGCCTGCCCCTGTCGTAACCGCCACCTCCGACGGCGGCGGCGGCCGCGGACGGCTGCGCCCAATGGTGGATCTGCGCCCCGCCCAACCTGTCCACCATGTGGTAGAAGAGTTTCAGTGGCGTGTATTTGTCGGCCGTGCTCCCCCAGTGGATGGCAAGCGCCTTGCCTGCAACGAAGATCTCCTTGGCGATGTCGGTCCGAACCTTGTTCTCGAACCTGGCGTACTTCAGCGCGTGCTGCTCGCCGTTCGCGTCCTTCGGCAGGATGTGGAGCTGCGCGGTGAAGGCAAGTTCGCAAGGGTCCTTGTTTGGTTTAAACGGGATTGGCAGCGCCATGTAGTTGCCCGCGCACATGGCGCCATGCACGTCCACTGTGTCCAATTGCTCCGCGGCGCCATCCTCCAGCGCCACCCAATCCACCGAATGCTTCAGATTCACGGCGTGGCCCACGTATTGGAGCGGCATGTCGCGGAGGGCGAAAGCAGCGGGAGGGTCTGAGTGGAAGAGCTCGGGCTTGTCGAGCTTTTTGAAGGACTGCACCGCTGCCATGTCCAGCCGCGTGTTTTTGATTTGATCAGTTGCGGAGGCGTCGCTGCCGACGGCCTCTCCGATTGATTTGATGTTGCCGGCCGTCGGGCTCGCCATGTCAGACAGCGGGCGCCAACGGAGGCTTGAGGCGAAAGCTTGGCAGCTGGGGGCGGCCCGACGGCTGTCGCTCGAACCTGCAGCGCAGCGGAGCGGCGCTCTTCCCTGCGGCCGCAACCGAGACGGCCGCGCGCGACCCGCGTGCCCCCGCACCGCGCGTGCGTTGGGGGGGGGGGAGAAGTCGCTTGCTCTCAGGTTTCGTAGACCCAGCGGGGCAGCATTGGCCGCTCGCTTCCCCGCGCTGCGGAATCGCACGCCTCTCAGCGGCCTCCGGCCGCAGACAGGCGAAGAGTGTCTATGCGCCGCCAGCCAGCGCCAGTGCCCGCAGAGCGTGGGGCCCATCAAATCGCACAGCATCTCGCCCGTGGCAGACCACAGGTCGTGTCCGCGATGCCAGTGCTCCCACTGCGCGGAGCCACTGCGCGCGGCAATCGCCCTGCTGTGCGGCTTGTAGGTGCGGGGGCCGATGTGGTTCTTCACGTGTTTCTAGGCCCTGTCTATGCGCTCCCGCATTCACCTTTAACACCGTGCCGCTCGGGGGCCTGTGCGTCGCCATCTTGGCGTGCGCGGGCGTGACCCGCGCCCACTTCCCCCGCGCTTCACGCGCTTCTTGCAGCGCCTGACAGAATCGTGGGCCATCCCTGGGACCTTCATCTTGTAGCTCCTGGCACCGTCCGAATGGAGAATCGCTTTGCGGTCCTTGAGGCGGTCCTGAACAGCACTGGCGTTTCTGGCTTGCCCCGCTGCACCACCCCTGCCCACTGCTCCCACTCCTTCATCTCCTTGTCCTCCGTAACCGCGGAAGCGAAGACGGACCCGTCGGCCTCGATGTCAACCCAAGTCTTGCCGCTGCCGTACGCGATGTCCTTCTCGTATGTTTGTTCCACTTACTGCTTGCGAGCGAGGTCGAGGTTGCTGGTCATCTTCTCGATCATCTTGTGGTTGGTGCCGTAGTGCTGGTGCATCTGCGCGGTAGTCATCCCCGTTAGAAGGCCGAACGAGACCCTGCATTTGTCCCGCAACGACAATGTCTCCTTCCCCCAGCCGCTGGCGAAAATGGGGTGGCTGCGAGTGGGGCGCATCTGCTTTCCGCATTTCTTCCCGTCGTTGCATCGCCATGCACAGCCCGAGCCGCTCCCCCAATCCAAGGTGCACCGTTCGCCGAGGGTGCCTTTCCCGCAAAAAGGGCACGTCGACCCAGACCAATCGATGAGGACCCCGTCCTTGATCAAGAGGTCCACGAGCTTCTTCTCGTCTTCCGAGTCGAAGGAGTCGGTATTGCGGCACCAGGCGTTGCGTTCTTTCTGTGTCTTCTGGGTGCCGTTGGCGGTGCGAACGTAGGGGGCGTTGCCTTTCTCCTTCCCCCTCTTGCCTTGCACGCGGTCCATTCCCCTCTTGGGCTCTGGGAATGGTTTGAACGCGGCAGCGGGGCGCTTGGCGATGGCGCCCTTCTTCGCGCCGCGAACGGCGGCGGCCGGGCGTTTCGCCACGCGGGCAGCGGAAGCGGCAGGGTTGTTTATAGCACAAGGGCCTATGACAGAATGACATAATGACATGATGACAGCAACAAACACGAGCCAAAAAAGAAGCTGCAAGGACAATATATGTTGTTATCATTGGTGATGGTGTCTCATAAGGTTTCCTGCTGCCCTCTCCTTGGGTTCTTCCTGAGTCTACTCCAGGGCTCCCTAGTGGATCTCGTGTGTGTGTGTGTGTGTGTGTGTGTGTGTGCGTGTGCGTGTGTGTGTGTGTGTGTGTGTGTGCGTTTGTGGCCTCAGCCTCCTGCCGCCCTGGGCCCCTCGCGTCTCCTGCGGGCTTTCCACGACTATGATGCTGATTTTCTCCAGGCTCCTGCGCGCGGCCGCAGCGCGGGCAAGCTCACTTCAAGGTGCGGCCGCCGCCCTGCTGAGCTCGAGTTTCAAGCGTGCGTTCTCCTGCCCTTACGCGCTGCTTGTCCTTCTCCAGCTGCTCGCTTTCGTGGCGTAGGACTATGTTCTCCAGCTGGAGCTCGCCCAGAAGGTCTTGCTCATCCTCCTTGCTGTCGCTCTTCCTCGGCTGGTCCTCCTTCTGCTCTTGGCTCGTGTCGTTGTCGGAATCGCTCTCCGCGTTGGACTCGTCGGAGTCGGAGTAGGTGCCTGGGTACTCGTCGCTCGAGGGCGCAGCGGGCGCGGCCGCCGCTGCTGCGAGCGCGGCCGGCGCAGGCGCTGCAGGGAACGCAAGCAAAGGAGGCTGGGCAGCTGGTCCAGGAAGAGGCCAGGGCAAAGCCAAGCGCTCGAGCGAAGGCCCGTTGCCGCGCTTGTGTTTCTCCTTGCGCAGGCAAGCGCGAAGTTTCCCCCGAGCCGCGTCCGACCACTCTCCTTTGACCCCCGCCCGCAAGCCGAGAGTTCGCTGCGCGTTGATTGCGCACGCGTGGAAGTCTTGCATGCCGAAAGGCAGCCGAGACGCGTGAATCTTAATGTCTCTTGAGCTGCTGTGGGCTAGGGTCTCTTGGTGGGCGGGGGGGCGCTCGTGAGGCTGAGCAACAGAGAACTGTCCCCCCATGGGAGATCTGCGCCTTTCCGCCCGTGATCGGGATCATTTTGTGGAGTAGATTTGGTTGGCAGCGATACCCGAAAAAGTGTGAGTGAATGTTTGAGCCAGCGTATCTACGGACATATTATGTTAGATGTTTGACTCTCGTCGGGAGGAGCCTTCAACCTTCAATAATCAAACGCCCCCCCCCGCGCAGTCTACGAAGTAAAACAAGTAATAATATCATCTGCTCATCTTGGGTCGCCCTCGAAACCCCGCGGGCTACAAAGTAAAACAAGTAATAATCATATGAACATCGTGGGTCGCCCTCAACGCCCCGCAGGCTCCAAAGTAAAATAAGGAATAACATACTATGTTCATATTCGGCCGCCCTCCGAAGAAAAAGGAACACATCAAACATAAGACACATATATGAAGGCAAGAAGGCTGATCATGTAGGAGGGGGGGAGGATGAGGAGGATAATGAGAGGAATCAGGATAATGGGGAGGAGACAGAGAATGAGAATGCGAATGAAGAGAATGATGAAAAAAGAGGATGATGAATATTGATGGGAATGATGAGGATGAGGCATAGGAGGAGGAGAGAGATAATGAGGAATCTTGTGGAGAATGGGGAGGAGGATGAGGAGGATGAGAACGAGGAGGACGGGGGAATGGATGAGGAGGCGAATGAAGAGGAAGTGGGTACGAGAGGAGGCGAAAGGTATGATGACAAGGGGGGCGAGCATATACATATATATATACACATACATATATGTATACAAAACTGCATTGGCGCTTCGCGCCATGCACTCTGGTCCTTAATGTTCGGCATGCAGGTGGGATGGCAGGAAAGTCAAGCCGGCAACTTAGCGATAACTCCTTGTTGCCTTTTCTGGCATCGTCCTTATCTGTTATTCGTTATCCTGACTCCATGCTTCTGTTTCTTCATTCTCGCCACACCCTGCGCATTCTCCCCATCCTCCTCAGTTCTTTTTTGCGGAGGCTCCTCCTTGGAGAGCCTCTGGGGGCCTCACGAAATTTGCCCGGCTTTCTCAAGGCCTTTCGGAGGCCTCCTAGGCGTGTTCTGGGGTCCTCTGGGGGCTTCCTCGGGCCACCCTGCCTCCAACCGCGGTCTCCCTGAATGACTGGGTCACGATTTGGAATGCTTCAGAGCGTGTCTTCGGGCCATCTTGGGCCGCCATGGGGCACTCTTAGGGCCATCTTGGACCCCTGTTGTGCCGTTTTGGGGCTGTCTTGGACTGCCTGGAAGCCCTGTCGGATAGTTGTGGGGCGATTTTGGAGCCTCCCAGGCGGCTTCGGACGCCCAGAAGACCGCCGTCTTGGAGCGTCGGGAAGCCGAAAAGAGGATAACCCCAAAATTCACCAACGACATTTGGAAAATCACACATTTTAGCCTCTTGGGTCCTTCTTGGGAGTGCTCTTGGAGGCCTCTTCGGACGCTTCGGAGCGATCTTTGGGGGTATGACGGCTTCGTGGGCGTCGTCGTGGACCGTATTGGGACTCTCTGGGGTCGTTTCGGGAGTGCGCCGGAACGCCTGGAACCCGTCTGGAACCGTCTTCGGGTGCTGGGAAGGCTTGGCGAAACGCCCTGCGAGGCCCGGGGAGCCGCTTCGAGGCCCGTCCGGAGGGTCCCGAAGCCCCAGATCCCGGGAGTCCGGTTTTGGAGGGGGGGGGGGATGACGGGTTTCCCCCCCGCCCGGGCAGATAAAAATATAGGAAGAGGAACATATATATACATATATATATATATATCTATACGATATATTAATATATATATATATATTATATATATATATATATATATCGTATACATATATATAATATATATTATATATATAATATATATATATATAGATATATTATAATATAAACAAGTAGGCCGGGCCCTCTCCTGGGGCGTCCTCCACTTCGATCGTATCTGGATTACGCTCCCGGTACCGCGTCCCCGGCCCCCCACACACAGGCTCCAAAACGCTTCAGAAGAGCCGCAAACGCCCACGAACCGCCGCCAGAATCTAAAAGGACGACCCACGACGCTCACAAGCAACCCAGGATAGCCTTCGGGCGGCTCTCTAGGCTCCCAGGAGGCCTCCAAGAGACCTCAAGAGAGCTCCGAGAGGCCTCCCGAGAGCGCCCGGAGAACCTATCGCTAATTTTGTTTAGTTTTTTTGTTGAGGTTTTTGGCTCATGCTTCCAACGCTCCACGACGGCCGAAGAGGCCCCCAAGACCGCCCCGAGACCGCCCACGAGGCCCCAAGACGGGCCAAGAAGGCTCTAAGACTGCCGAAGAGGCGCCCAGGACAGCTCCAGACCACCCCAGAACAGGCCAAAGATGGGCCCAAGAGCGGGAGCAGGAGGCCTCTTGAGGCCTCCGAGAGGACTCCGGGGCCCCCCAGAGAGGTCTCCAACACACCCCAGACCCTTGAGAGGCCCCAAAAAAGCTTCTACGAGGCCCCCAAAACAGCCTAAGAGAGCTTCGAGAGCCGTCCCGAGAGAGCCCGAAGAAGGTCAAATCGTTGATCTCCAGTGGTTTTTGTCGACGTTTTTTTCCTTCTCACGTATTCCCGCTTCCACCGCTCCAAGACCGAGAAACTTGAACTTGTCCAGGCGAAGGGTCCAACCATATGCAATTGCAGGTGCCGCAAACCAGGTTAGACAAATGAGAGGAAGCTCCCAGTGGGGCCACGAAACGTGTGAGGGGTGTGCCTGAATGGGTGCGGCGGGCGCATGCGAACGCAGCCACGGGGGCCTTCGGTGGAGTTCCCTGTGGGGCCACGAAACGTGTGAGGGGTGTGCCGAAATGGGTGCGGCGTGCGCATGCGGACGCAGCCACTGGGGCCTTCGGTGGAGCTCCCTGTGGGGCCACGAAACGTGTGAGGGGTGTGCCGAAATGGGTGCGGCGTGCGCATGCGAACGCAGCCACTGGGGCCTTCGGTGGAGCTCCCTGTGGGGCCACGAAACGTGTGAGGGGTGTGCCTCAATGGGTGCGGCGGGCGCATGCGAACTCAGCCACGGGGGCCTTTGGTGGAGCTCCCTGTGGGGTCACGACACGTGTGAGGGGTGTGCCTCAATGGGTGCGGCGGGCGCATGCGAACGCAGCCATTGGGGCCTTCGGTCGAGCTCCCTGTGGGGCCACGAAACGTGTGAGGGGTGTGCCGAAATGGGTGCGGCGGGCGCATGCGAACGCAGCCACTGGGGCCTTCGGTGAAGCTCCTTGTGGGGCCACGACACGTGTGAGGGGTGCGTCGAAATGGGTGCGGCGGGCGCATGCGAACGCAGCCACTGGGGCCTTCGGTGGAGCTCCCTGTGGGGCCACGAAACGTGTGAGGGGTGTGCCTCAATGGGTGCGGCGGGCGCATGCGAACGCAGCCACTGGGGCCTTCGGTGGAGCTCTCTGTGGGGCCACGAAACGTGTGAGGGGTGTGCCGAAATGGGTGCGGCGTGCGCATGCGAACGCAGCCACTGGGGCCTTCGGTGGAGCTCCCTGTGGGGCCACGAAACGTGTGAGGGGTGTGCCGAAATGGGTGCGGCGGGCGCATGCGAACGCAGCAACTGGGGTCTTCGGTGGAGCTCCCTGTGGGACCACGAAATGTGTTAGGGGTGTGCCTCAATGGGTGCGGCGGGCGCATGCGAACGCAGCCACGGGGGCCTTCGGTGGAGTTCCCTGTGGGGCCACGAAACGTGTGAGGGGTGTGCCTCAATGGGTGCGGCAGGCGCATGCGAACGCAGCCACTGGGGCCTTCGGTGGAGCTGCCTGTGGGGCCACGAAACGTGTGCGGGGTGTCTCTCAATGGGTGCGGCGAACGCATGCGAACGCAGCCACTGGGGCCTTTGGTGGAGCTCCCTGTGGGGCCACGAAACGCTGTACTGGATGTGCCGACACAGTAAGATGCGGAGGGCAGAGGCCAGGAGG